AGAGCAGATCCAAGAAAATTCTTAGTAGGAAAATTTACAAAATGTACTGTGTGTTTGCTGGTAGGCTTCAGTAACAGATCACATTTGTCACTAAGCTTTACAGTACTTTCCATGTGTAAATACATTTTCTTTAATGTATTCTGGCCTAGATGTTGTCTCTCAGATGAGAGAATTAATTAGATGGGGAATTCCAGGGCTGGATTATGTCAGTGACAAGAAAATCGACTTCTCTTCAGTTGATGTTAAATTCTTTTTAAGATTAGTATAATTAGTCTCATTTTACAGGCCTAGAAACTGATCTGGAAAAGCGGAGTTACTTGCATGGGTCTGTAGGAGCCTTTTGAAGCACATCTGGGGCCATGCAAAGGAGGGTGCTGGGAGCACCAAGCTGCTGCTGGAGCTGCATCGTGGGTGTCTGTGGGTGCCACTTGAGCACCCCCCTTGCCATGGGAAACACAGACAGCTTCAGAAGCTTTGCAGGGCAGCTCTGTGTGTGACAAAGTGTCTGCTGCACTTAACGTAAGGCTATTACCTGAACAGTCTGGGATCCACTCTGTAAATTCACGCCCCCTTTAGATGTGCTTGGATGTGCCTGAGGTTGCCCTTTCCCCTCTTTCCACTTCCTCGAGCCAAGTTTTGATGTTGTCCTCGACATCTGGAAACATCGAGGAAAAGAGGGATTTGAGGCAAGTGTTGTTTTGTGTCCCATTGAAATGCAAGTGGCTCTTAATGTGTCAGGATGTACAAGCAGGAGGAGAAGAATAGAGAAATGTGTGAGCAGAGGTAAAGAACTGTCGTTGCTCTCCACTACTGAATAGGCAGAGTAGGCTGATGTCATTGTGACCATAGGAACAAAAAAACCCCAGAGAGATACTAGGCTTGATTACATCAGTTCATGAAATGGGCTTTGCTCTCTTCTTTGCACTACCAGCTTTGATGCAAACACTGATGTAATGCAAGAACTTAGTAAAAGTGCAAAACAACCATTTGGTAATTTTTTTTAGCTTCAGAGAGGATTCTTCGTTATTGAAGGAATGGTGATTGTGCCAATCACTTTAGTAAGTACCTTTTACAACAGTTGACTAGATGACATTCACCTAGACTGGCAGAGACACATTTTCATCCTTTGATGCTGTTTCTAACACAATCCATAGCTGACATGGAAAATTTTACTTCTTCATCCTCTTTTACAGATACACAGGAACTTATGGAAGGCCCTGCATTATTTTAATGCATTGAAATATGCAAATATACTTCCTTTTTTTGTTGTTGAGTTTCCTGCTTATTTTGCCAATATGTATGCGAATTTGAATGGGTCCTGCTAAGGATGCTTATTGAAGCAGGGTTCTGAGTTTGCTGCAGTGGGGGACTTGGGCTCAGTTAGAACACCTAGGCTGGCCAATATTGAAACATCTGCCCTTGTAACTTGTTTCAGGAGCACAGGTAAATAAGGCTCTGCTCCCTTCCTGAGCTATTTCCAAAATGAGAGCTTAAATGTGTTTTGATGTAGGTTAACGATACACAAACAGATATTGTAATGAATTTATCTTGGGGTTTAGTAAATATGTTGTTTTGTTGCAGAACTCTTCACTGTCTTTGTTGAATGGTAGCTATCAGTGTAAAATTGGTTATTCTGTATATCACATCTGAATTTCATACTTTACCAGCATGGCTTGAGAAATGTTAAGAATGTGGTTTTCAAGGGGACTGAGAAGATGTGTACTGGGGAATGCCCTTAATAAAAGGGAACCATCAAGGGTGTTGTGAAAATACTATTGATATAGCACATGAGAAATAACAGTAACTATTTTATTTAGCATAATAAAAAATGTGGAGGAGGAGAGTAATTTTTGGAGAGAAACAGCATTGTGAAGAAGTGAGTGCATCCTGGGTCATTTTGCCAATGAAACTCTATAACTGTGTAAGCATAAAACATCAGCTTGGAACACTTAATCTAAAATGTTGGGCATTTCTCCTTTAAAACTCTGTCTTGCCTGCTTTTAAAAAAGTAGAGTTAGTTTAAAATTTTGTTTCTTATGCTATAAAAATAATTAAGGACTTTCTGTTAATATCATACTAAAATAATCAGACAGTTCTGTTTGTTACAAGAGAAAATAATTTTTCAATGTATTTCATTCTCATATTAGGAGAAAACCCACATCTGCCCACAAAAGTTACAGTTTCCTGAAGGATATAGGAAAATTATATTAAAAAAAAAAAAAGAAAAAAGAAAAAGGGAGGAGGGGTGAGAAGCAGGCATTCAAATTTCCATGGAAGCTCTGTGTTTATGTAAAGTACAGCAGCTGCACTGCAAATTCCCCTCTATGGATGACCTCAGTTCTGAACAAGACAGACTGTTCTGGGTGCAGGTGTGATTACTGAATTATTTGTTCTGTTTTAGTGTCAGTCAGTTACAGAGAAGTATTATGGATAAAAATTGTGTCCACTGAATAAAGTGAATTCGTAGATTTGGTATTCCGTGGTTCACTATGTGCCTTCCTGCTATTGCAGAAATAGTTTATTTTATTCTCTTGAATTGCATTTGTTAAATAGGACAGACAAGAGGAAGTGACTCCAGCAACAACGTCTGAATACATCAGGCAGGCAGAAAGGCAGGATTGCACTGAAGATGGTGCTGGACATAAAAGACAGTTTTGACAGCTGAATTAAGATTTTTTTTTTAAGAGGTTTGTACATGCTGGCATTGAGAATTTTATGAATTTTTTCTCCATGCTTCTTGAGAAACAGAGCTGTGAGAAATGCTCACTCCTAACATGCATCCAGTCAGTCATGGTTTGAATGTGATTATTCTTGTGAACCTGCCAGCAGTTTTCCAGCTTACCTTAGATCACATTGGTCTTTTCCAGGTGTCTGTACTTATTTACGTTCTGTGTGCCTTTTATCTCTTACCAGTTTATGTAATTTTATAGGAAAATCCTTTTCTTTTGTTAGTGTTTGGTGTAGACTGCCAGAGAGCAGGACTGATGTACTGAAATGTGACTGCTTTTCTCCCACTTGTCTCCAACCAGCATGTGCAGTCAGACTGGGGAACCTGGGTTCCTGAATGGCTTTTCAGGGTCTTGGAAGAATCAGCACACATCTAGAACCCACAAAAGCGAGTCTTTGTAGAAAAATGGGTGCAGTTTTGTCCAAATCGTTAGCAAATTCAGTCTCTACTTTGGCAACCGTTTAAGAGAGCTATTCACTGTAAGATGTGTGACTTCAGAAGCCACAGGGCAAACTTGCACTTCTAGGAGGTTCTCCCTTTTATTGCTGAAAGAGCAATGAAAGGACATGGCATTTGAGGTGAGTGGTAGTCCTATTAGGCTTAGGTGTCTTTATGCATCCACTATTCTGATCCTTCTCTCTTCAAACATGGTCCTGACAGGACTGGCTTTGTGTGAGGCACAGAGCATTAGTACAGAAATGTGTGTGAAAATTTGAAAACATTTTTTTAAAAGGAAAGGGGACTAAGTTTCCTATGCAAAAAAACAATGTACTCATAAACACTTTTGTGTTGCATTTAATGAGCTTGCCATTATGCTGTGTGCTTTAAGTAAAAAATGGATGGAAAATGGAAGGGCATTTGCTGAGACCGATTTAAAATACTGATCTTGTTTCTGATCCAGTGCAGTTTCTTTATATGGGCTGACTCTAATTGAAGACGTATAGGGAAACAGATCAGATATCTCTGAGGATTAACAAGGGTTTTAGGTGAGTAATGAATGATAAACAGGTCAAAGGAATGTGTAATCTAGTGCACTCATACTATAGCATGATTCTCCTGAGCATGAGAATTGCCTGTTTTTCTTTTAAATCATCTGAAGCAGATAGATCTTCCTCATGAAATTGGTAATGCATTCATGGTAGGACTTGGAAACACATCAACGTTTCCAATGGTGAGAAGTAGTGGAAGAAGGATTTGGCAGGGTCAAGGACAGCTCGAATGCCACCCACTGCTGTTGGTGTTGGGAGTAGTGAGACACCACGGCAAACAGCTGGGATTTCTCTGAGTCATTCATTCTCCATCCCCACCTCATCACTCTGTCTACCTGCGTGGGTGGCCAGGTACGTTTCTAGGCAAGGAAGTCATTAAAATTGATGTCACATCTCACAGTCACGTTAGGGGGAGAGGGGACATGATTGTATCTTTTTCTTACCCGTTTTGGAGGCTTTTTGCACTCACCTGCGTGTTGTGTGTGATCATCCTTAAAAAGGGCAGGGGAGCAACACAGAGTTATTATCCCTCACAAGGATCCCATAGCTTGTCTTTTTAGTCTCCCCTGTCTGTGGCATGCCAGGCACAAGGCTGCACATCCCTATTAAGATCTGGGAAGGGTCTTTATCAGAAACAGAACTGTGAATATCTTTGTATTCTTGTGTTCATTTTCCCACCTACTTCCTGAGGGGTGGATGGTGGTTTTAGGTCGATAGCAGTTGATCTGATCAAGAGTATAAAGGTTAGGGGTGATACAATTAGGGACACGTCAACTTCAGCGGGTTTGTGCTTGAATCAACTCTGCCTCCTGCTGAGAAAAGCTGGTGCATAATAAAATATCAAGGCTGGGTGTCCTGGAGCTTGATGAAGGCCACAAGTCAAGGGTTCATGGTGTGCTCACTGTCCTGCACTAACAACTTGTGTTTGTTAACACCAGGCTTGGACATTTTGTTTCAGAAAAGGCGCCTCTGTGTAGAAACTTAGGGCAAGGTTGCTGCCTCAGCATGAGGCTGCAGTAACCTGGAATAGTATTTTGTGTATGTATTCTTTTGTTAGATGATGTAAGGTAGAGCAGAGTGTCATCCTGCTTCTTTTAATAATAAAATCTGACACACCTGAGCCCAGGGAGGCCCCCTAGAAGAAGATATTGAACCCCCCCAGTAAGTGAGGTAGCACCATGCAGCATCCAAACAAGTTATATATAGCTTGAGATAAATAAGAATTGTTTCTTTATGGTCTTTGAACTTGTTTGCACGTTTCTCATTTGTTCATTCTCTTTCAGGTAAGACAGTGAAGTCTTTAACTGCTCCAGAAGAAGAGGGTCTGGAAAGAAAATGTCTCTGGCAAAAAAGTATCAGGTAACACTGGTAGTGGGGAAGCTTCTTAATTTTTAAAATATCTATCTGAACCAGTCTTGATGAACTGAGTTACACCTGAATTTGAAATTACAGGTTTAGAGGAAGGAAATATTGAGCTCTTAGTCACTGAAACCAGAAAAGTGCCTGCTTTTAGTTTTTTATGTAAAGTGCTACTGCTTTCTATATGCAAATGGTGCACCGTACTCTGTAACCTCAGTCTTCTAGAGAGCAAAAGGAAGGGCAGAGGAAAGTATGTGTAGTGCAGGAATTCAACTGATATGGAGACAGGGTTCCTACTCTCTTTCACAATGCAGTCCTCAATTCCAGTAAAACACAAAGAGATCAAATCAGCTTGGACTCTGAGGGCAAGGATTGCCCTGTGCTGTAAAGGGCATTTGATAATTCCTGCATACCATGAGTATAAAAGGTAACTGAGCTGACTGAATGTTAAAGTAGCTGGAGCAAGCAGTAATAGAACAGAGTGGGTTGTAGCCGAGTGACAGCTCATCATATAATCATCATGTTTTCCACTTAGAGCATCTCTGAAAAACAAGAAAGATGGTTTCATAGCTTTTGGTTTTCCTCTAAAGGGATTCTGAGTAATTGTTTTTTGGAAAATCTTCAATGACATATGGGCTATAGGTACCTATTTTGAGTGATTGAAGGGTTATTGCCTGTGGTTCAAGATACATTCTTATGCAGACACACAGCTTTCATTAAATCATAGGGAGAATTTTCCTTAGTCATTTTTCTTTTTCCTTAATTGCTTTCCCTTGCACAGAGGTCAGGCTGTCTCTGCTGTTATTTCATGGTGTAGAAGCAATCTCTGAGGAAAGCACAGATTTGTGCATCTTTTGGTGCTCCATTCTTTGATGCTCCATTCTTCCTCCTGCCCACATCTCACCCCCAAGAAGCTGCCAGAAGAATCCTAGACAGGCACAGATGGACCGCCCGAGTGGTTCTTTGAGGGCAGCCCCCTGCCCTTCCCATGGCTCAGCTGTACCATGGTGGGGAGCCAGGCCATTGTCCCCCCTTCTTCTCCCTCAATCCTCAGTTCCAAGAAGCTGATTGAGGAGGAAACAATGGTTCTTTATGAAGCAGTAGCAGGTTCCCAGTTTTTACAGGAAGCTTTCACTAACCTGTAAGTCAGGTTTTTTTTTTTTTTTTTTTTTAGCATTATCAGGAGAGTGGCAATTGGAAAATGGCTTTATTGGGTGAAATAGGATTTAAAGGAAAATGGGTCTCATGAGATGAAGCTAAAATCAATAGGAGATTGCACTTTGTGCTGTGAGTCTTTAGGAATCCCTGTATACTGTGTGGTCTAGTGTTAGGTTGGGAGCTTTTCAGGTTTTGTATCCAGAGGTGTGCTTTGCAGTTAATAAAATATTTTTTTAAAAGTGAAATTGCTTTTATTATTTGTAAAGGTGAAGCTGTCCCTGTGAAGTTGATGAAGTAGTGTAAAAACATCTGGAAGGGTGAAGCTGTGTTTTCCTGTGAGGTCAGCAAACTGGATGGTTGGTGCAGAGTGTAAGAGAGCAACAAGTGTTTGCTTTTGTATTCTTTCAGAAGGGTAGGTAGTTCTGTTAGCTGCAGTACACTCCACTGAATTGCTGAAGTTTGTGCAATAGATTTTCCTAGTGCAGCCCCCCACTGAAGTGTCTATATGGCTGTAAGTTGCTTTGTGATGGTTTTCAGTTACTGTTGGAGGGCTTGCATGTGTATAAGACTCAGAAATAGCTTTTTCTCAGAAATTTAGGGCAGATAAGTTAACTAGAAATCATCAGAAATTAGGAATATACATGTCAAAAGTCATTCATCTTCTGCCACCTAGGAATGAATGAATGAAGGACATACATTCCCATTAATTTGAGAATTCTGAGCTTTCAGTGGCTAGGGGAAAAAAAGAGCTACTTATTTAATAGTGTTTTTGCAAGATTAATGTTTTCAATAAAGTGTAGGTGTTCACAGTTTTGGGGAGGCAAAAACAAGCTTCATGATCTTGTATTTATTTCTCAGTCATGTTTACAGACCCCTCAGACTATTGTCAGAGCAGGTGTCACCAGATGGCCCAAACCAGTGGTGCAGAGAAGGAAGAGGAATCCACCTGTTCAGGTCTTCTGAGTGTTAGCATCACCTTTGAGTCGGTGAAGACTACTTTTGCCGGGAAAATGCTATAAGGCAGACAGGTGGAGACTGGGAATAACATCCATTGTTGGTTCAATTCAGATTGTATCTATTTTATTTCAGAAGATGAATGTAGATAATTGATAAACCTGAGAGTTGAGATTTGGTATCTTTCCAGCATGGGCCTGGAAAAGTGCCTTTCCTTTTTGTGATAAAGAACTATGTGTAGTGTGCAGGTCTTAAAAAGGGAGTTTTCCCTTGTAAAAAGGTGTTCCTAGTTTTTGACCAGTCAAACATTTGCTGTGTTTTCTGTTACTTCATGCTGTTACGGCAGATGCTGACACAACCAGACAGCTACTTCAAAATGACACGTACTCTGGGAGCTAAAGGGAATGTACAGGAAGCTTCCCAATATCTTGGTGACACTGCTTCTGTCACCAAAACCTTCATGAGTCATCAGAGATTGTCACATTTTGGTTATGCCATAAACAAGACTCAGGCTGAATTTTGAAAGTATTAATAACCTTTATAGGAACTTACTGTAAATGTTTCATGTTCTTTCCAGAAAAATTTTCTTGTGATTGTTTCAGTTTGACTCCAGTGCCATTTGTTTTTCTTTCATTATAGATGAATCATAGAATAGCTGAATGTAGAATTGAATACTGAGGTCAAATTCATTGCTTGTATTGGCAATTACAATTTCATTTAAATCTGTAGTTCACACTTGTAAGAAGCTGTGGCTTTTGCTCTAGCCTCTTCATTGAAAGACACGTTTTGTATCTCCATGCCCATTGTTTGTGCTGTCATAAGAATTAAACCCAATTAGGATGACACCAATATTCTTTCTCTCATTTTCCTAACCTCTGCTTTATTACCCAGTGGATGCATTCAGACATACAGGGATGGTGTTAACAGGAGGCAAAGAAACCACAAGAGACTATTCTCTGCAGCCCTTTATCTATTAATTTTTTCCTTCAGGTTTTTGCTATCTAGAGAGAAATCTGTTCTGGCTCTCTTTTAACTTCTGCAATTGGAACAGCTCTTTTTATTGGGCCTTCAGAGAGACCAAGGGGTACTTTGATGGACAGTGGCACTCTGAGTAGTTCTTATCAGTAATGCTGCTGTGCTGCCCTGGTGCCCTCTCATCCTGCTAGGCTGCTGCACACTCACAGCTCTCTAGGAACAGCACACATGGAAGGCTTTGATTAATGGTGCACAGACTAATAGAGAAGCAATATTTAGTCAGTGTCAGAGAAAAAATGACATTTGGTTACAGTATTGCTAAACAGGCTGTAAAATAAGAGTATGTGCAGATCATTTTTGCTCTCTTAGCAGGTAAAGCAGATTAAAGCTGTATAAATTACAACATGCTCACATATCTAGTCAGGATGCAAAACACTTGAGATAAAGCTCATTAAACCACTTGGGTCTATGCTTCATGGTTAATTTAATTAATATTGAGAATTCTTTTAGATCAGTCTGCAGTGCTTGTTGGTTTTGGGGATACTGTTCTTTTTTAAAAGAATCATATTGGTTTTTTTGAACAAAATGAGTAATTTTCAAACTGCAGGTGAATTTTTCATAAGTAGTAAGAAACTAAATATATTTGATCTACTAGACTATTTGACTCAGTTCTACCACTGACAGTGCTGGTCAAACTGGTAGAAAACCAGCCCTCTAAACTGGATTTTGAGGTGTATTTCCTCTGTTTATCTAAACCAAAGGGGAAGGGGGCTGGATTCCTAAGAAGCTGCTGATGTAAATAGCATAGAATTGTTTTTTCCACAATAGTACTACAGAGAAGTGTTCCAGGGTCAGACTGTGTAGTGGATATGACAAATGGATACAGAACAGTAAATTAGTGTCACTTTTGGAATAAACAGTAAAACTTATTCTGCTCTTCTCTCCATCCTCACAGGCACATGATATTGCAGAGATTCAAAATCAGAAGTAAATCAGCTGGACAGTTGCCTCTTGCCTTCCTAAATAGGCAAACATATTAGAAACAGAAAAAGGGGCCTACCTACCTCATTCCTGTGAGTATCTATCAACATCCCCTCCACCCCTCAAATCAACATCTGCCAGGTAATTGTTTTGGAATGCTGAGCATAATGATGTGGTGACGTAAACAAAAATTTTTATTTGTTTTCTTGTTGACAACAATTAAGTGTAACCAACCAAAGAAACAGACTAAAATTATTAACAGGCTACCAGCATGCCTGTTGCCTGTGGCTACACAGAGCTGATGGATGATGTATTGTTACTCATTAAATGAACCTTTATCTGTGTTTCCTAAAGCTTGGATGCTGCATAAGTTCCTAAAATCGTCCATATCATGTCCATGTTAGACAACTGCACTGATGCTGCAGTTGATGTGTCACTGCAGAAGCTGTTTGGGGCTCAGTTCTTTGCTTTTATATTTCTTAGCAGTTCATTCTGTAATAACGTGGTGTAATAACATGGTGTAATAACCAACTGTGAGGCTTGAACAGAAGATCCCCAGAGTGACCCCCCTTGGTCAGGGCAGTGAACAGAACAGTCAGTGTTTGCTGAATAGCTGCTGTCTAGCTGATATTCACCTGCTCTGAGTTGTCTTTTCCTTGCTGACTTCTCTGTCCTTCCTCCAGGGAGAAGGTGGGCTTGCTGGTGTGGATGCCTGCCTCGTTTGCTTCACCAAAATGAGTTAGGGCATGCAGGAGAGAAGGGAGACTTTTTCAAGCAGAACCTATCATGGTGAGTCAGATTTTTGTCCCTGCTTTTGCTGTAGAGCTTCTCAGTGTTGCTACATTACTTAAACCAAACCGTTCACACAGAACTCTCTCTTCCCTGGAAGCATGTTGCACATAACACTTCTTTGGCAGCAGTGATGGATTGAGAGGTTCTTCCCTACTGCTTTTGCCTCCCCTGCCACATGAGATCCATGAAAGTGCTAGGGAGGACCTTCAGCAAATGAAAGCAGCAAATTGAATGGAGCTGAAAATAATTACTCTCTACCATGTACACATGAAAAGTATGAGAAACTGGTCTGTAGCTTTGATTTGGATCCACATCCACAGATGTTCAAGCATCTGTCTTGAACATTATACTAAAATCAAGTACATGGGAACTGTATTTTTAACTTTGAGTTGCTAAATTCACTCTAAAATACACCATGGAGATTAATTCTCCGTTACTACAGATGAAGTTTTCCGTCATTGTTCACCATGATTGTGAAGGAGTCCCAGCAGAACTCCTGACAGTCCCTAGCACTGCAGCATGGGCATTCTGTATGCACTGGCATCTTCATTTAATGGATTTGTTTCTAATTTTGAAGCTTAACCTTGGGTTTGAAATTCACTGCAAAGAACTTTCTCAACCGCAATAGAGAGTAATGAAACACAGTTTGCTATAGAAACATTGTCCTTCTCCCTCTTCCTCATGATAATTCTTTCTCATGTCTTGCCTTCATTTCTCCAGGTTTTCCCAGCCTTCCACTTCTGTGTTACCTCAGTTTTCACATCATCTCAGTACCTTGTACAGGTGTGTCAGTTCAAGCTTCTGGGAAGTGTTCCCACATACTGCACTCAGGCCTAAGCACTTGTGCATCTACAAATATGACAGTTGTGAATTAATTCAGGACTAATTTAAACAAAAACAAATGCAATATCTTCTGAAAAATGTTTACTTTCAAGCAGACCTTCATACCAAATGCTTGTAAACAGACTGGATTTTGTGTGGATAAGGAAAAAAGCAAAGTTAGAATTCACAAATCTTTCTTACTTTCAAGCACTAATTTCTCCAGTTCCTTTGTTGTTTTGGGGGCTTTTTTTTTGGGGTGTTGTGGGTTTTTTTTGTATCTGATTGCCAGAGGTCTCTGCTTGAACGTAGATTCCATGTCTGTCTCTGCTTGAACACAGATTCTTTGTCTCTTCCTTTCAGAAGTGGGACTTGATGTTCCAAACTGTCTTAAGGCTCTTGAAGTATTGCTGAGCTCATCAGTTCTCTCTATAGCTGAGGCACAACTTTTTTCCAAGCTCCACTCTCCTCTGTGCATACTGGATTTTATTTAAGCTTTTGAGGATTAAGTATGGTATTAGTAAAATCTTTGTGATTCTTGCTGAGAATTGTATAAGTATCCATTTTGATCATGGAGAAGCAGCTGTATCCATGTGTTGAATATAGAATTTTTCCTTTGGAGCCATTGTCACTTCAGAAGTCCTTGTGAGTTTGGACACTGCTCTCAGCATGTGCGAGTTCCTGTCTCTCTACTTGAGTGTCAGACTACTTTGATTTGCCCTTGCCAGATCACCAGCACTGAACAGATTGCATTGCTCTGTTCTGCTGGGACAAAGTCAATCCATGTTAATGGCTTCTTTAATCTTTTAAAAGTGATTATTTATTTGGGGCAGTGTCTCCAGTGAATTCCATTCTTTTCTAGGGATAGTAGTCAAATAGAGATAAGCAGTGCCTGCATAAGACAAATCAGACTCTAATCTTGCCTCATTTTGTGCCTAATTCAACTGAAAAAAAATTCTCAGTTTGGTTCTCAGAAGTTGTAACATTGCATGGCTCATGTGGTTTACCTTCTTCAACCTTGATTTCAGGTAATGCTGGTTAGCCCTGTATATACTACTAAATATTATGTATCTAATCTAAGTCAAATTTATCCAATGTATCTTCTTGGTGTATCTGAATAGTCTAATTCTACTGTATACTTCTGTTAGATTTTGGTTTTTAAGGTCTAGCAGAGAGAAAAATCGGAGTAGACCAAGGAACCTGCAGACTTGAAGAAAAAAGAAGAAATTCAATTATCTATTATTCCACCTTGCATAAATCTTTTAAAATGGTATAAGTCTCTTTTAAGCTATTAATTGTTTTTGTAAAAATAGATCCTTCTTGGATATTCCTTTTACCAACTTCACAGAACTTAATTTCTCTGTGTGTCCCTTGGTGCCCTGCTTTAGATGGCTAAATCTTCAAGCCACAGCTGCTGTTGTGTTGTCTTGAACTGTGAGAGCCCTTCAGGTCCTACTAAGCTCAGTGTCTATTTGAGCAATGTGGGGTTCTGGCTTTTAAATAAGCCCAAGTATCTCTCACCCTTCCTCCCAATGCCTCCCAGATACTTCTCCTTTGCAAAGGAATTTCCAGGTTCTAGTTTGTTTCACACATCTGCATTAGGCAGCTGCTTTTTCCAGCAGGGCTGGTGACAGCATCACTCAAAGCACAACAAACTCCTGCCTACGAGTTGTTAGGAAACTGCCTTCTTTGGGATGTAGGCCATGTCCCAGAACTTTCCTGTAGTGAGGAGGTGGTTATCACTTTTAATTTTCTGATGCAGTTACTATAACTTGTAGTCAGAGTGATGAGACACAAATGTTATTCCATTTTAAGTGCCATCTTGGTTGTTGCTGTGGTAGTATTTTTACAGAAGTTGGCTTATTATAGAGCAGTGGCATTTGGTTTTGCAAGTAACTGGGACTTAATACCTACCACTACAGGCAGCTTACTCTTGAATTCATCATTTGACAGTTACTGTTCATTTTAGGCTGATTTAAGATAATGTACCATTTGATTATAGTCTAAATTTCAATATTGAATTTGTCCTAGGAATCCTCATTAAGATACAATTAATAAAGACTAACTGCTGCATTAGGATACTTGGGCAGCTCTGCCTAACGTGGGTGGAAGTAGAACTGCGTTGTAATTACAGGCAATGCTCTGTCATTCTGAGATTTAATTTCTAGTTGGATTGGTTATTTTAATAACTGTCTATTATCAGACAATTACATAATAGCAAAAATATTGTTATGGTGTGAGGTACATAATGTGACGGAGTGCAAACATGGAGATACAGAAAACATAAACATTCTAGTTAGTGCTCTTTACCTCTGCTACATGCCTTTACAGCATTCATCATGTATTTTGTCAGTGCGAACTAAATTCATTTACTTAGTTCTCATGAGATCAAATTACTTCTGCTATATATTAGAAGTAAAATAATTCTAAGTCCTATTCCATAGTGAGAAATGAGATTCATTCTGTTTTGCACAAACTGTTTTAAATCCTGTTTTTTACCACTGAATCCATGTCTCTTAAGCACAAACTTCACAGAGATTTTCAGGCCAGTGTATTTCTTCTCCTAGCCAGTACTGTCCAAGGTGATTTCTCATGGAATTTCAGGAAATCTTTGTTTTTCTTGAAGATTTCTTTTTCACAGTAAACTTATTTTTATGAGGTAGGTAGTTCTCAACCTGGGTGAAAAGAATTAAATGTACCCTTTAAAAAAATGCTCTCGCTGGACAATCTAACCATCAGGATAATTTAATTTAAAAATATGGACTGGTTCAGTTTAGAGCAAGATCCTGTCATTGTACAGAAATATATCTTAATCTGAGAATCTTAATCCATGAAAATTACCAACATAGACCAGTAGAAGAATACATTTGAAGTATTTGATGCAGTGTACTTTGATAGTAGTTATACACACCTTTTATAGTTACTTAGCATTAAGTCCATGAGAATTTCTATTCCATTGGTTTTGCTGTTAATAATATGATGTGCATATTAGCATGGTGTCTGCAGACAAAAATAGAGACAGCGGCTGCATGATGGAAGTATGATCTTTGTCTCTCTTGAGGTATTACTATTTTACATAAGGTGCTTAGAAACCCTTTAATTTCTAATGTGTTAAACCTTTAAAGTCAGAATGGTTTGAAATAAATATGTCCATCTGTTCTAGATGCTGCATGGTTCTCTAGTGGAGTTTTAGTATTGCACAACTAAATTATGGGTCAGCCTAAGTCCATTCAGTCTTATTTATGAGTAAATTAATGTGGTTTTGACATGGTTTGTGGTTTTTCTGCAAAGCCAGAAAGGATTTTACTAAATTAGACCAAAGCTATCCATACCTGATCTCTCAGTGTTTTTAATGTATATAAGGGCAGAGAGCAAATGGCTAGAGAAGCTGGCACTGTTTGTATTGCTAAAAGAAGAAAGCCAGTTTCATAGAGAAGACAGGGAATACCTTGTTTCCAAGTAAATCATCTCCTCTCACATTTCTTTGGAGCTACCTCTGTATATTTAAAGCATGGAAAACACATCATTTGTTTCACATGGATGTTTAAAATCTTGGGAAACTTTACCCAGAGAGAATAAAGTTTTGAGTAACTAAAATAAGTTACACTGTAAATTAGACCAGCAAGATTCTAAAGGCATCTCTTCATGGAGCAGTTAATTCTTTACAGAGCACTAGAGGAGCCTTAACACTCTTATAAGCTGAAACAGCTTCTGGCAAATAGTAAAGTTCAAGACTGAAAAGGGTCAAACAAACACTGTGGTGAAGTCCCAGGCACTTATTTCCTGGTCACATTTTGCTAAATTTGAAACTGAGTCTACATCTTTTGCAAGATGTGTACCGCATGTAATTGTATTCCAAATACTGTTTCAGTGGAGGCTGTGAGATTTGACTGTTTCATTTGTGTTATTTATTGTTGCTGTGCTACAAAAATGAATTGTGCACTGGTGGTATAATAAACTACCAAGTGTCTTATTTGTCTTATTAAACAGGCAGGGATTAAAAGAATGTCTTATTAAAATATCTTGGTTGAAAAGTTATGTGAGTAATTGGATGAATTTTTATGGTGAGGTATTTTATTTTGTGAGGGAATGATCTTTCCCTTTATGCAGAAATTAAGAGAGATTTACACTCTTTTCAGCAATTGTTGTTAACAGAGATTTTACTGCATACAATAAAT